ACTTAATTTTTGGCCTGTTTTCCCCCTTTTCCTCCTAGGGGGACTTTAACGCGTTATACTTAAAATAAGCCAACGGCAGGCTTAAGTTATCTTTCATCTTTCCTTTTCCCTCAAAAGTCAACAAATAATTGAACAGTTTGCTACAACATTTCAGCAGTGCAGGCTTAGGAGGCTCCAGAGGGCTCAGAAGAAAAGGGAAGGGTTGGGGTCACATGTAGAGCAGGGGCTGCCCACCCCTGTTTTAAACCAAAAGGCTGTGGCCAATTTATTAGTTTCTACTAGCAAAGGATGGTTTTCAAATAGGCTTTTCTATGGTAGGAATTCCCTAAGGATCCACGGAAGCAATTTGTAGGAATAACAATACTGCATAAACTCCAGAATTTATATTATAGCATAGCTTTTTCAACAGCACAGGACAATATGCTTGAATTCTGGGTTAAGTGTGTCCTCTGTTTTTCCACTCAGATCTTGCAAAGGCCCTGGTTTCTGTCATTTACCTGCCTCATTCTTCTTTCTAACCGGCAAATCTCCTCACCTTTGTTTGCTCTTTCAGCCTCCACCGTTTTGTTTTTTGTTTTTTGCTGCCACTTGTTATCTAAGCCCCGGGGAGACTTGGGCTGCTGGCGATGGATTCAATGAAAAGGAGTAACATCTGGAAGCAGGTGCCTTGGAATAGGCCAAATTTCTTCCCTGTGAACAACCACTGCATACAATTCCAGAGTCAAAGCTGGCACACACATTTTCAACAAGAATGAGCTGCCCTCTCTGGAGAGTGATTGAAACCTTAGATAAAGCCAGGAGATAAATATTTATTAGAGGAAGTCCCACACTCATCCATTCTCTGTCATTGCCAACAGGAGCAGTTATGACAAGAATTACAAAGCCCCAAACAACTTCCCAATAAATCCCAACACAAATTTTCTCCTTCCTCTGTTGGCAGGACAGCTAGCCCCCCAGAGAACTTTTTTGCATAAGTTTAGATCTTGGATTTTTAGGAGCTTGAGTAACCGTTTCTCTTTAAAATTTTAAAAAGTGCCAGATGTGCTTGCAAAAAAATCTTGTATCTGAGCTAATTTCTTGCCTTAACATGCAAAGACATTGGTTAGGTACACACTTTGTACTGAGGCATGATTTTAACTATGGTTTACATTATGGTTGGCTTTACTTTCTTATTAAACCAAAAAATTATGATGTACATACTGCAAAGGCTGGTTCACACAAATGTGCTAAGCCAAGTCTAAACTAACCTTATTATGACTTATAGGCGAAGCAGACTGCTGAGTTGTTTTGATCTGCTGAGAGTTGGTTTGCAAGGCTTCTTCTACTCTTGCGCTCTCACAGGATGGTGGAGCAATACTGCTGCCTTAGTTTGGAGGGAAAAAGCTGACAGCGCTGTGGGTATGCATATTTATTTAGAGGTTTGTTTCTTTATCCGATCTCTATTCTTGCCTATCCTCTAGGAACTCAAAATGGTGTACATAGCACTCCAGTAATGCAATCCAGCTGAGCTTCGATGACTGAGGGGGACCTTGAATCTTAGTCTCCCTGCTTCTGGTCAAACACCTTAATTGTTAGGCCCAGCACTATCCTCAGGGGTGTTAAACAGGTTATTCTGATAAAAGCTCTGTGTGATGGTGTCGCACACATGTCCAAAAGGGGTGGAGATTGCAGCACAACAGTGCAACACTGTTTGCTTCATTTTGATGAAAGGAGAGCAGCCTGCAGCCTGCCGACTAGGTCCTACTGTTTTCAAAAGGGCTTACCCATCAAACTATGCCACAGCATGATTTATTTAGATATAGTATATTGAGTGAACCCAGCCATTATTATTTATAAGCCATGGTTTATACACTGGCAGTATTGAGCAAACCCAGACAACTGGTTGATTCCATAAACTATGGAGAAACAAAACATATTGCCATAATGTGGAAACCATACCAGTAAGTATATTAGGAATTACAATTAACAGTGCTTGGTATATCTGTAATAATATAAATCAGAGGTGAACAAAGCCATATTTGCAATGCCAGATACTCCATTTCCAGAAATTAGGAGATGGGTTGTAGGACATGTCCAGACAGCTGGTTTAATGTGTTTTCCTCCAGTCCGTGAGTTGGTACAAATGTGCCCCAGCAAAACATATCCTGTCCCGACAGTGGTTTTTATTCTGCCTTGGTCACAAGGCCAGTGAGTGGTGCTGTCTTGGGAGCTTTAATGGGGGACAAGTTAAGAAAAATGATTGGTGGATTTCCTGCATTTACTCTCCCTAACATGGGCTGGGCTTGAGACCAATTTTGACTGATGGGTTTAGCCATCTGTCAGAACTCTGATCTGCAGGATGGAAGGGGCTTTCTCACTTTACCAGGAAGTCACGTTTGTTCTGTGGATCAGGTACTGCAGCCCCCACCCACTTCCTGGATGATCCACAGATTATCCCTCACACTCATGCTCTCTCGCTGTCTTTCTCTTGCCTGTCACACTCACTTGTTCTGTCTTCTTCATTCATCTTTCTCACTCGTCCTCCATCACCCTCCCCATTGTCACTCTATCATTCACTTTTGCTCCATCACCTTCAACATTGTCAGTTCTCTTACTCTGTCACTCACTTCATTGCCCTCATTCACTCCATCACCCTCCCTTGCTCCATCACTCTCACTCACCTGTTTTTCCGCAGTTTTCTTTTGCTTACTTGCCTTTCTCCTTACTCATCCTTCTCTCACTTTCTCTTTCTTGCTCTGTTGCTCACCATGTTACTCTCTCAATCTCTCACCCACTGTGCCTCTTGCTGACTACAACAGGGATGTAGAAGTTGGGGTTCAAGGACACTGGTGGGTGGACTCTCCTGCTTCGGCCAACATTGCTCAATTATACAAGCTGTCTTTCGGCCCAGGCATTTATCTAGCCAAGCAGATAAGGAGCCTCTGTAATGCCCAAGTAGTGCTTCACATCAGGTGCCCACAGCAGGCAAAAGCAACTACAGGAACTGAACAGACCCTAGCCTCTCTTCTATCATCACCCTAATAACCACTTAAGCACCACAAATTATGCATAAAGCAAGCTGTATTGGTAAAAGATGGAAAACATTGGATAAGATAAACACAACATTATGTGGTCTCAGCTACCAGCTGGAATGAGATGAAGGCTGAGCCATGTGATATCCTTGAAGAATGGTTAGGAAAGCATCTTCAAGATGCAGTTAGCAGGGCTTGTGGTTGAACCCATCATCTGGTTGAGAAGCAGGGGACATCTGTCGGCAGAAGAAATGAGCAACAGCAGCAAGAGTGGAAACAGCTGCTGGGATAAAAAGAGGTAGAAATGTTTGCATTAATTGAAGTTATGACCAGATTTCATAATATATTAAGCCATAATGTGGTACGCTTATTCAGCAACCCCAAAGTAAAGCAAACCATGCCTTGGTGTGATGATGAATCAGCCTGTCTCTTGTAGTTTCAGTGATTTGGAAAAATGTATTGTGTTTCTTAGGCCAAGCACTACTAAGCATCTTAGGAGGGAAGACTAATGTGAGACAGAAAGAGGAAAGGTGCAGAGGCAGGTGGATATAGGACAACTTTGCAAGCCTGTTGCTGACTACTCAGCCAGCATGGCACAGCACATCTGGAGGGCATTAGTCTGAGGAAAGCAGACATAGGGATAACTAGGCTCCACTGCTATATGAAAATTCAACTGCAACAAACCTCATAAATAAATATAACACCACTGATTGTGTTTGCACGACATGATCACTTATAGCTAACTTAACCAAGTTTACTCAATTTTTATGGATTTGCACAACATAAACTAATTACACAATCTGGGTTTGCTCAAGATGCTAGGCAAAACTCTGGTTGGCTAATCTGGGGTTCTGTGTATCATGTGAATGTAGTCATTACGTTCCTTGCATGAAATCCCTCAACAATGCTAAAAGTTAGATTAGTTCTAGGCCTACACACCTGTTCCTCCAAAGAAACACTACTGCTGTCATGCAAGCAGTTGGTACAGAAGAATATTCCAGTCCCTAACAGCTATGTTAAAGCAGCCATAAGAGTCTGCCCCCGCCCTCCACTTTGCCATTCTATGCTTATAGCTACACAGGGGCAGTTCAAACTTGAGAAATTATCAGTGTTTGATCATGCATTTGAACCAAGCTTAATTCCTGGTCATTTTCTCGGCAACCGTATAGAAGTGCTCTGCCGTGCCCTTTTGCCAGGTAGCAGGTTGTCTTCCCAGCCACGGGAGTGCCTGGTGGTCTCTCATCCAAGTACTAACCCCCCCCCACCCTGCTTAGCTTCAGAGCCCAGAAAGGGCCAGCAGCTGGAGTTAGCTATTCTCAGTGTGCAACCCTGAGATCTTCTTGCATGACCCAAGTTCTGCAGGGATCTCACCAGAAGATGAGGGAGTGGAGAGAAAGAGAAAACTGGGTTGGAAGCAAAATGGTAGTCTCCAGCCTACTGCTAAATCACAGGAGGGGAACGTTAAGGGTGGATTGAGAAAATAAAGAGGGAGAAGATGGCTATCTATAGCCTGATGGGAAGCTGGACAAATTTCCTTCCCTTCTGGCTCCCAAGCTGTGGCAGCAGCAGGTGGACCCAGAGAGGATCTCTGTGAGGAGGCTAGCTAGATGTGGAAACCAATGACAGGAGCTTCCATCTTCCCCTCCCCTCCCCTCCCCTCCCCTCCCCGCCATCTGCTCGGCCCCACTTTGGCTCAAACC